TGAGAACAGTTCTGAGGAAGGGTCACCGGACCCGAAACGTTAACTCTGATTTTTCTTCACAGATGCTGCCAGACCTGCAGAACTTTTCCAGCAACTTCTGTTTTTGTTCCTTTAAAACTATATCTTTGAATGCTTGGGTCATTGGTTGTAAATATATTGAAGATGGGAGAAACGTTTTATTCACAATCAAGGATTGTTCAATCAAATATGAAGAATCTATTTGCTTTTAAATTGGCCTGGGAGGACATTGTACCCTAAGGATTAATATGTTGAGTAACCAATTCTTGGGGTGTGGGAAGGACAGTCAAAATGCTTAATTTGTTAAATGTTCAGTGATTGGGACTGATTGAGTTTATAATTCCATGGAATGTCTGTTCTTTATCTCATATTTTATGACATTTAGCTGCTCTGTAATTGACTTAGCTAATGATCTCGTCTTTTAAAAACTATTTAATGATCCAGTCAGGTTTTATACTTCTGCGATACCTTCTGGGTCTAAATGTTAAGCAGCTGATCTGTGATGTTTATCTGTACTGATGGTGTTCTCCCTGCTACTTTGTGTGTGTGTGCATGATGCTGCATACACTCATGATTCTGGTGCCCTAGATAACTCCATACACTGTTCAACTTTAAAATTAGCTGCAAGAATAGAGAACCAAAGAAAGACTTGTGCTTAAATAGTGCCCTCCATGACTTCAAGACAATTAAATGCACTCTAGGGCCAGGCAAGTAATTCCGAAGTGTTGTCACTGTTGGAATGTAAGAAATCTGGCAGCAAATTTGCACACCGCAAGCTCCCACAAACAGTAGGGTGATTTTTTTTTATTCATGTTACTGTAATTGAAGGATAAATGTTGATGGTTGGAGTGCCTACTTCTTTGAATACCGGTTATGGGATCTTTAGCATTTAACTGAGAGAGCAGGTAGTTTCTCTGCAACAATTGATTGCTGCCTGGCGTTTACTTGTGTCCCTGGACTAAAAATGAACCTACAACTTTCTAACCCAGAGAAGAGAGCTACCACATGAGCCAGAACTGACACTTACACGCGAATGTAATTGCCCTGTTCTAATGGCAGGTTTGATTGCGGGAGGATAGTGTTGTTCCCCTGCCATCTTTCCGCCATTGCATTGATTTAAGTCTGTCATCAAAAGGCTTGTGGACAGCTTTCCTGCCTTGCTGAGGATTGAGGCTGTGGAGGACCTCAACCCATCCAATTATTTATCCAGTGATGGCAAAGGTATTTGAAATAGGGGGAAGCCCAAAGAGCAAACAGTGCCCTCTGGGGACTGGGGGTACCTCCTCGTTCAAAAGTTCTTCCCAATTAATACATAGGAAAATGAGGGAGAGTTGGTGCAGGGAGAGGGTTTAGTGCTGCTGAGAACCACCCCCATGCCAGGCTGCTAATCCCCTTGTCTTCCAACCTACCATTCCCATCTCAAAAATCACCTTCCTGCCATCAATCATCTGTGCCTGACTCATTGGCGATCCTGGGTCTTGGCAGCAGTACTGTTAGCAGCCACACCCTCCTCAGGTGGAGCTGCTGATCAAGGAAGAGCTGCAGGCCTCTGATTGGCTGGTGGCTCCATTCAGGGAAAGGACCACACGCTGTCCAGTTAAATGCCTGATTTGCCTTAAGGCTGTGACCTTTTCAAAAAAACAGGTGACAGCTATGGGACTCTTATGGCAGTCCAGTTGGCTGCCTTGATTCCTGTCGCTTCTGTTTAAATACTGCCATCAGAGTGACAGGCATATAACTTAAGGATGTTGGAGGACAGATTTCCTTGGTGCTTCCAGGCTAGAGAGAGAGGTAGCAAGCGGGGTTCCCATTTCTGATCTCTATCCAAAGATGCTTGTGGGAAAAGTGGATAAAGACCAAATGGGAAGGAAGCTCTGAAATGAGCTGCAGTCATCAACAGTTTTAGGATCACATGGCAATAATGGGAGTTTGGGTGAGACGCTGAGGTCTTGGGTGCATCAACCCCTCTGCAAAGGAACTGAATCCTTTCTCACTGGAACCCGATGGTTGGACCAAATAGAGATAAATCCAAATCTTAATGAACTGAAAAAGTTAGAATCTTTGGGAAATCCAAAGACACTTGGGTGTTTAAGTACATGAATCACTAAAATGTACTAGTCACATACAAAAGGAAATAATCAAAACAGCTAATGGGATGTTAGTTTCTATTGTTAAAGGACTGGAATTTGAAGGACTGAAGATTTTGTCACAGATATACAAAGTCCTGGTTAGACCACATCAGGGGTGTTATATACAGTTCTGGGCACCGTATGTTTGAACGGACTATATTGGCTTTCAAAGGGATGCAGATTCATCACTAGGTTCCAGGAGACCCATTATAAGGAGACTACCTAAATCTGTATTATCTAGAATTTAGAAGTTTACAGGTGATTTGTTTGAATTAGTTTAGGATTTTGAAAGAATTTGATGGACTAGATCAGGGGTAAAAAGTCCTGCTGGTGGAAGAGTCTGGAATAAGGGATTAAACTTTAAAATCGGAGCCAAACCGCTTGGGAGGGAAATTACAAAGCACTTTTTTCATGCAAATGGCGGCAGAGGTGTGGAATGTTCCCCACAAAAAGCAGTACATGTTCAAATAATAACTTTAAATATGAAATTGATAGTCTTTTGTTAGGTAAGGTTATAAAAGAATAGGGAGTCAAGGCAGGTGGATAAAGGTAAGGTGCAGGTTTGAAGCGATAACGTCATTGAATGGCAGAAGGGAATTGGGGACTGAATGGCCAGCTCCTGTTCCTAAAACAGAAAGGAAGAAAAGTGGATGGACAATTGAAATGAGGAGGTGAAAAATGAAGCACAAATATTGGTATTTGAGATTGATGCCTATGGATGATCAAAAGGCTCCATGATCATAACTTAATTCCTGAGGACATGTATTTAGTTTATTTCAACGTTGACATGTTTTGTATTTTGCAAGTCACTGGCATAAGATATTTCTGGCAGTAAGCAACAGGAGCTATTTGTTAAAGATCAGACTGAAGATTAATGGAAATCTAGATGGAACAAGATTGTGGCAGTGTGTGAGTGAAGCACATAAGTGCAGGAACCGAGGGTTACTGGCACAGACTAGTTTCTGAGTGAGTGATTAGAAGATTGTGATCCAACACTTGATCTTGGATTGTGTTCTGACAATCCTGGCGTTCAAACAGTCATTGCACAGAGGCTAAAATTGCAATCTTGAAGAAAAGTCATGATCCCAAGACAGCAGAGTGATCTGGCTAGGCTGGCCTTTGAGAGTTGTGGTCAGTTCTGGTCACTCAGAAGTAGCCAAGTCTTGGCTGCAGAGAAATATGTTAAGTTGGCCGCACATTTTAGGAAGATTGAAAATATAAAATTAGACTTTGCTCTCTGACAAACTGATGGAAAAAATTCTGGACTTTTTACAAAGTTGTTTAAGTCACTAACTGGAATGGAAAAAGTTATTCCAATATGACTGCAAATTGTATAATAGGACCTAAGGGGCAACTTTTTCACGCAGAGGGTGGTGAGTGTATGGAATGAGCTGCCCGAGGATGTGGTGGAGGCTGGTACAATTACAACGTTTAAAAGGCATCTGGATTGGTATATGAATAGGAAAGTTTAGAGGGATATGGGCCAAATGCTGGCAAATGGGACTAGATTAATTTAGGGTGTCTGATTAGCATGGACAAGTTGGACTTAAGCGTCTGTTTCCGTGCTGTACAGCTCTATGACTCTGTGACCGTATAAATGTAGTCCCAAGAGAGAACAATATGACAGTATTCACTTCCCACTATCCTGAAGTCAGCCAATCCTTCCAAGTCATTGGGTCAAACATCTGAACTTCCTTCCCTAACAGCAATGCAGGGAGCACTTTGATCACACAGGAAGCAGTGGTTCAAGCAGAATATTCACCATCAGCTGATGGATGAGTAAAGCTATTTTAGTACCTGCCAAAGTGAGCAAAGCAATTCATAAATAAGATCTGATAATTAAACAAACAGCTATATTAGCATTGTAAATCACACTGCTGTTAGTCCTATGAATTGTGACTGGATGACGTTTTTGAGTGATATGTTTTTTGTGTTTTAACTGTTGATTGTGAACTGGTCTGTTTCATTGTGCCTTTAATTATTGATTTCACAACAATTTGAGAGAGATTATACATTCGCACAATGCATTATTAAATATGATGTTTTAATCGTAAATCAATCAAGGGGCAACTAGGTTTGGACAATTAAATGCTGACCTTTCCAATAATGTCCGTGACCCAACAATGAATAAAGAGGAAAGTACAGTGAGTAGTAATGGACTCATCCAAGATTGTTATCAAGATATACTTCTTTGGGTGATTCGTAGCAGGAATGATCCTTCTGGAGCTCTAATGGCGAAGCGTGAATTGCAATAGAAGGTTGAGTCAAATGGATACAGTATATTGACCTCCTGAATTCTTCTTTGTTACGAAGAAGAAATGTAGATATCTACAATATGGCACCTGGGAAATGGATAAGAAAATATGAGCCAAAACAAATTTGGCGGAGAACAGCTGTGATGAACAATCTGTAGAATCTGGGAATATATTTTGGGGTGGCAGGAATAGCAGGCAGTTCAGTGAAATGTTCCAGATTGTATTCTTTTGGGTGCAGTGATTCCAGAACAAAGTGAGTAGATAATGATCATCCTTGTGGACTGTAGGTTCATACTATGCCATTTATTGTTTCTCCTTCAGGGAATTTTTCCTACAGTCCACAAATCATTACTCGGCAAGAGGCAGAAGAGTCTCCGTCTGACTGGAGGTCTAAATTGAAGCCAGTCCAAAAGCATCACAGGTGAGTTTGTATCACAGCATGAGTGGCAGCTGAGCCTTTGGTAAACCATGGGGAGGTATTCTGGATTTGGTCAATGATCCCTGCCCTGGCGGAAGCTTCTGTGCAGAACCTGTTCACTAAAATGCTGTGAGAAAAATGTTCACTTTGGAAAATAGATATGATTCTCTTATTATTTGGCTCAAGTTGTAGAATGTAGATTGTGCTGTGCTTGTTTTACTGGCACTGAAAGCTCCGGTACGACAGGTGGCTATTTTTGTCTACTCATTCTAAATTGAAAGTGAGCTGCCTGCCAGATTGTTAAAGGCTTCCTATAAATATTCAGGATGTTTGCCTGTTTGGTAGGCTGAATGCATAGATGAATAGGAAGCCTCATTCCTGTATGATGCCACTGTACAAAATTGGATTCACCATGGCGTTAGTTTGTGTCCTTTTATTACAATCAGTATTGCAGGCCTTTGAGAACTAAACTAAACTGATTGATTCTTCAGTGGGCAACTGGAGAAAGCTTATATATTTTAATTGACATTACTGTGGAATCAAGAGGAAAGCTTCCTTTTCATAATAAGGTTAATTATAAAAAATTGCATAACTAAACATCTGTGGATGTTTACTGTGCTGTGAAGTTGCTGGATAAGTGAAAGATATTGTAGGGATGCTTTCCTCTAGAAAGACAAGGTTGACAGGTGTTTTAACACTATGAAGGATTTTGCGGTTGATGTGGAAAAGATGTTTCCATTTGTAAGGAAGTTCAGAAGGCATTAGATCAACCTTCATAAATTGAATATGAATTTGGGAGAAATTTCTATACCCAGAGTATTGGTAGAATGTGGGACTCATTACCATTTGAAGCAGTTAAGATGAATAACAGATGCATTTAAGGGAAAGCTGGATAACATATGAGGCAGAAAGTAATAGAGGGTTATTCTGATAGGATTAGTTTATATATTACTACTACTGCAATTGAGCGCTCTGCCATCTAGACTTGTACATGAAGTTTGGCTACTTAAGTGAGACATTTGATGGCCACCAACCCCTATGTTAAAGTAGTACGCCTTGGAATTGATAAGAAGGCAAGACAATGAAAACAACAAAATGCATAATAAAAACACACGTTCGCTCCGCTTTAAAATTGTTCCTTGCCAAGTTCTTGCTGCCTCCCTTTGGCCTGAGCTAGAATGACAGCCGTAAGTTTAAAGTGCACATGGTCCAATAATGCCGTTATTTTTAAATTCTTAACCTTTTTCACAGATCCTTCCACAGTTTAATTCTTCTTTATATCCACACCCACCACCAGCTCTTCAGCTCCACATGATCTCTGTACTTCTCCAATTTTGACCTCACGCACAATCCCCATTTTAATCACTTCCCCCAGCCATCAGCTGTCTAGGTCCTAAGCTAAACTTTTTAGCACCTTTTCTTCTTTAAGGCTCTCTGTAAACCCTATCTTTTTATAACTAGTGTTTGATCACTTTTCATAATATATTACCTTATGTGGCTCAAATGTTACTCTACCATGTTCCTGTAAACCACTTTGGGATAGCTTGGTATATTAAAGGTGCTATAAAAGCAAATTCTTGTTCTTGTCTGCGCAATTGACTGCTGCAGATAAATGAAAGCTGGTTGCAACTACAATCTGTTTACTTGCAAATAACACATGTGTTGCAATGTTGGCTGTTGACAAAATCTGAATGTCAAATCATGAATGTTGACTTTTCTGGATTTACTGTGTTCATTCTGGGGGTAAATCTGGACTGTGTGGGAGAATACACAATGGGTGATAGCGAATCTCCAGCCTGTTGACTGAGTGATGTACCACTGGGCAGGGATATGAACTTTCTGATGTTCCTGTATTGGGACGGTAGAATGGGTTATTGCAACTAGATGAGTAAGTGTGTGCTCCAGTCATATGTAGCATCTGTTTCTTGGGGGCCAGTTCACTGGAGCTGATGATGTGGCCTGACTAGGATTGTATGACACACATTTGATTTGTTTCAGCAACAACATTCTTGAGAAATTCCAGCTCAACATTTGGACCATGTTGAGTTGACCAAAAATATTTGAAGTTTTCAAAAGCCCCTTTGTCCTCAGTAAAATAAAAACAGAAACTTAGCAAGTCTGGCAGTATCCATGGAGAGAGGACAGAGTTAACATTTCATGTCTGATACAGCTTTTATTCAGAACTCAAAAGGGGCTGGAAAATGCTGTTTTTTCATATATGCTATTGGCAGAGGAGGAGGAGGTGCAAATAGAATAGGCTGTGAGGGTGCCCAGAGCAAAATACAAAGGGAGTACTAATGGTGTAAAGGATAATTAGAGGCATAAAAGGGGTGTAAGTGAAGATGTGGAAAGGCGAAAATGGGTCCACTGTGCCAACAGCAAAATTAACAGGTATTGGGGGAAGGAGTTGTTATGGAGGTGTAAGGAAAATGGAGTCCAGAGGTCATGCTCTGAAATTGTGGAACTCAGTATTGAGTGCTAAAGGCTGTAAAGGACCTAAATGGGAAATAAGGTGGTGTTCATCTAACTTGTGTTGTGCTTCATTGGAGCATTGCCACAGGTGCAAAACAGAAATGTTAGCAAGTGAGCAAGGTGGTTTATTGAAATGGCAAACAACTGGGAGATTAGGGAAATGCCTGTGGACAGAGCAGAGATGTTCTGCAAAGCATTTTGTGAGTCCAGGCTGTGTTTGGTGTCACCAGTGTAAAGGATGTGAGCAGCAAATACAGTAAACTCGACTGAAAGATGTACAAATAAAACGCTGCTTCACCTGGAAGGTGTGTTTGACGCATGACACCGTGAGGAGAGTGGAAGTGAATGAGGAAGTGGTACTGTTTCTCTGATTACATAGGAAAGTGCCGCGGGGGAGTGAGGAAGTGTTAGGAGTGGTGGAGGAGCGGACCTGGGTGTTGCAGAGGGAACAGTCCCTGCGGAATGCTGCCAATGGAGGAGAGGGGAACATGTGTTTGATAGTCATGTCCTACTGGAGATGAGCTTTCCTTCCCATTTGCACCAGCTCTAGCAGGAAACCGCCATCAAACAACCTTTACTCATTCCCTCCATTGTCAGCATTACACAGGAACCCTCCCAGCTAATATCTCCATCCTGGGCCTGCTACAATGTTACCATAAATCAGCAATGTTGATAACCTCTTAACTCTGAGAAGGAGCTGGAATCACTCAGAATTTTCAAAACTAATAATTTAAGTCTCTACTAAATATTTCATCTGTGTTCCCTACTAACTGTAGCCTTGTTGGCTTGCTTTTAATTGCATTTTTTTAAACTTAGAATTATCGAATGATGTAGCATAGTGGGAGGCTATTCAACCCATCATGCATGTGCCAGATTTTTGAAAGAAATGGCTTATGAGTCCTACTCCCTTGTTCCTTCCATATGGCCTACAAATATTTTCTTTGTGAGTATACATCCAGGCTGCATGGACTTGGCACCACGTAGGCTCCACCCTGACCCTGACCCCATCTCTGACCCTGACCCTAACCTTAACCCTTCGCCAGCACATCTTTATACTGGCATTTAGGTGCAGTACTCAAAGTACTGTTGGAACTCCCACCTTTTAGATGTGATAATCACTCAAGGCTTACTGACCAGTGGCTCAGATGGATGTTTGATAATAACATTCAAATCATCAGATCCAACTCAAAGTTTAATGCCAACCAATCTCATCAGGACTGACTGTTGGTCTTCAGTCCAATGCTGTTAACAACCATGATTAATAAGATTGTTTAGTTTGTACATCTTGCAGAAGATCTTCAGTCCTTTTTACACACACATTTGAGGCAGGATTGCCATTTTATTCAGCTAATGAGGAGCTTGTATCTGATTTAATTCTGAAGGAAATCTCTGCAGGCCTGAATCATCATATTGCTGCAGTCTGTATCACTTTTGTTATGCCCTCTGCAGTGATCGGAACATTGCCCTTTCTTAAAATCTTTAAATCAGGGAAAATAAAGATGCAGAGGATTGTGCCGAGCAACTAGAGTTTGGCCATTTCCCTTTGAAGTCCCATTATTTTGAACGATTTTGTACTGCTTTTCTCACTGCATTTAGACTTGACCTCAGCACTTGTGTTGTTTCAAAGAGAGTGATCTTGACTTTGACGTTAATGTAAAAGTGGCAGCAAACCAGAGGACGACTTAGCCCTGAACTTTGGGAGCCACTTTTAGGCAGCCACCTCAGTAGTTTTCTGCACTGTTCAGAGTATTATCAGACTTTGTGGATTTGCTATTCAGAAATAAATTTAGGGATGGCATTTTATGACCAGTTTTAAAATGCAATAGATTTATATCTGTCATGGACAACAATTTGAACTTTACCATTTATTAGTTTCAGAAATTAAAGTCATTATTAAAGACATTAACAACATTGTTATCATTCTATTATATTGTACAGTCATCCCTTCACCATTTATTAGCTCCAGAAATTAACAGTGACCACTGTGTAACTGAATAATAACAATGCTATTAATGTCTTTAATGACAGCTTTAATTCCTGTAGCTAAAAACTAGTAACAGCATAATTATGTGGGACAAATGATGTTGTAAATGAACTTCACATTGAATAAATGTAATAAAAATAAAGACGCCTGATTCTGAGTGTTTGGATGTTTAGTCTGTGCCAGCCAATGGGCTGTGGCAGGGGTTCACTCTGGGAGAAAGAATTGAATTAGGTCCATTATCTGGTTTGGGAATTGTGATGTGGAATTAATCTATACTTGGTCTTAAACTTTATGCAACCTGCTTATCTACTTGATGAGAGGGTGCAGTCTGTCATGAACCCTACTACTGCTTGGTCACAAGTTCAACAGGGATCCAGCTTCTCAAACAATTGGAACCATGGTGGCGCCATCTTAAACAGCCTACTGCTGGCTGCCAAGCATGTGCCTTCTGGAGTTGGTGTGCCCAAATCTATCCTGCCCCCAGTTCCCTGGATTGGTAGTTGGGTCTGACCGGGCCTTTGAAGTCCAGGCCTTTGCCCCCAGAGGAGACTAGACAGTTCTCAAGACATGTAAAGCAACAGGTGAGCAAGAGGTTGCTGTGTTAGTGCATGGGATGGTCAGTAATTGTGAAGCTATAGCAATATGGCATTAAAGTTTCTTGGAACTGGAATCTGCACAGTTGTTCACCGACATCCCACCCATGGCAAAGCGATCCATTGCTGCTTTCCGTCCTCTTCCTGGGTTGTCCCTTTGAAGGCTTGGCGGGAAGGGAGGTGCCAAATAAGAACCAATTTACGGATGATATGGCAGACCACCACAAACATGTAGAAGTGCCTCAATGAGTATTGGAACACAAGTCATAGAGTCATAGTATTTTAACAGCATGGAAAGAGGTCCCAGGTCCATGCCTATTGTCAAACATCCATTTGTTCTAATCCCATTTTCTAGCTTTTAGTCCATAGCCTTGTATGCTGTGGAGTTTCAAGTGACCATCCAAATAATTCTTAAATGTCTTGAAGGTTCCCGTCTCTACCAGTCCTTTAGGCAGTGAGTTCTAGTGGTGACTGCTGTTATCAATATCCTAGATTCCTGGATGAGCTGAAATGGCTTGTCCTGCTCATCCTTGTTGGCAATATTTGCTTCTTCCTGCTAACTTTGCTGAGTGTTGCCTTCTGATTTACATTTAGTGGTGACAGGAGTGTTTGCTTGATTGGGCAATCCTGTAGGATAGCAGATTTCACAAGAAGTTATGAAATCTTCAATTTCTTTTTGAGGTCTCTGGCTATGACATTGTTGACTGAGCCCTAGCTTTACTCCTGAGAATGCCTAAGTGTCCCTGGCATATTCTTTTGAAGTACATCTTGTGTTGTTGACTAATTTGCTGAATCTTTGGTCTGACCATTCTACCACAGCATTCTTATGAATAGTAGCATGTTCTTGGTCACTCTTTTGTTCTTGTCAAATTTGGTTGATCCTCTCTTGACTTGCTGGCCTTCGTTTCTCCTCATTCATATGAAATGCTTCTTTATACCATCGTATTCTGTTTTGGGCTCCTGTGGGGATGGCACCATTATAGAGCTGAAGTTTGCAGCCTCTGGTTTTTATGTCTCTTCTGTACCCTGGTGGCTTCAGAGAGAAAGCATAGAGTGCCTGCATGTCACTGTAACACTTTAAATATGGTAGGCCTCACAAAAAGTGGAATATGCCAGAGAGCTAATTTGTCATATTACGGAGCAATATAATTTATTCTTCTTGAAATTGTACCTTTTATTTGAATCTCGTGGTTATGCTTCCTTTTTAACAAAAAGTGGAAGTGGATTCAGCACTGGTAGGGGGAAGGTGATGTGGAGAAGATGGGTTTTCACTGACAACACTGTGGCAATCCTTATTAAAGCTTTATTTGAAAGAATGTTAGCTTGAATTCCCAAAAAGTGCAATGTGAATCCAATGTTCAGGGAATGAGCTAAAAAGCTATCATCTCAATCTGTAGATAGATTAATTTTATGTTATAATACTGGCAAAGTAATCTGACAGCTATGTACTTGCTTTATCTCCTGCATTTGTAGTACATGTGCTTTAATCATCACTTTACTTTAATACTAAGCCATTGAGTCAGGTCCTTATGAAAGGTTGATGCCTCACTGTTCTCCTGTCAGCAGTCAGATTATGCCAGCCATTGTAGAAGTTTGCTTGCTCAGTTATAATTCCTTGCTTTAGATCTGGAAAATATCCAGAGTTATTTTATTCCCAGATATTTGAATATGGAATCAAAGAATCACATAGCACATAAGGAGTTTGCAGCCCATTGTGTCTGTGAAAGCTTTTGGAAAGGGAGATCCAAATGTTCACGCCCCCATGATCATTCCTTACATCCCGGCTTATATTTTCCCTTCAGATTTCTTTTAGAAGTTACTGTTGAATCAGGCAGTGATTTCCAGGTCATAACTCAATATGTTAAGAAAAAAATACAAAGCTGAGGGACAGAGAAAGACTAGCTGGAAGGCCTACTCAAAAAATGGCTTGGATGGCCTACTCAAAAAATGGCTTGGATGGCCATGTAAACTATATAACCAACTCAGTAGTTGGAATTGCATTTAATTAATGTAAAATTGACAGAACGAAGGAGAATCTCACCACTCTGCAGAAATGTTTCCTTCTCTCTCTCACACAGTCCATAGGAGGCAAACATCACATGTTACAGAGTAAGACTCCATTAACTGCACTTTTTAACACTTCATATGAACATGCTAAAAATGAGGAATACAAGTTGTTTCACTAGTAATATTAATTCAATTGAACCTGCACCCTCAGTATTGCAGTAACAATGCTCATCTAGATTTTGTGCTCAACTCTTTGGCGAAGGGCATCAGCGTTCAGCTGAGAGTGAGCCACAGTTTAACGTTTAGTGTTTTCATTAATTTGAACTGGACCCAAGAGTTCACTGTAACTGGATCATTTCTAAATCTGAAGGGATGATTGAATAGCATTTGCTAGATTGGAATTTACTTTCTAACCATTCTCTTAACATTGATCTGTAACTTGGTGTTATTGAAATGGAGTGGTACTGTGTAATGTACTGACGGCTTCTGTTGAGCAGTGGATACTGTTTGAATTCCTAATCCAAACCTTGTTTCAAATTCCTGGGTCAGTTATATAGAAAAGGACAGATTGATTCATCTCCTTCTCAGCATATCTATTAAATCTATGTAGGTTTTGTTAAAGAACTTCTCCCAATAGATTTGTCAATCCTTTCAGGTTGACTTCAAGGGTGGAGGTGGAGGTGTGAGGTGGGGTGGTTCCAGGTGGAAGATCATGTGACTAAAGCTCCAGGATGACACTAACCAGAACTGGAGACTCTTTCCTAAGGTAGTTAGACACATTCTGAGACGCAGAACATGATGGATGGCACTATTAGTATGAAGGTCACTGGTCCAGAACTTTCTGTGAGTGTGTGTGTGTGGAACACTCAATTCCAGGCATGTTGTAAATCACTGAGGGCATTTAGGGGTTAATTGTAGCTATTTGTAAGTTGCTGGCTCCAGGTCAGAAGAACTGAGCTTTAAATTACGAAGGCTGGGATTTTCCATTGTGCCGGTATGGATAGGCGTTACTCATGGGGATCCTGGAGAATCCCATTGTAGCAGATTTCTGAAGGAAGTGTCCTGGTCAGTTCCTCTGTGCCGAGAATTCTCCAGAAGTCTCCATTTAAATTGGAAACTTTGATGAGTTCAGATGAAATTAAGTAAATAGTTACTTAGGAAAAGTTGGACCATTAAACATGTAGTCTAACTGTTGAGGAACAATTCAATAGAGCCCATAGTTAACTCACACCTCCCCAACTACTCCTTGCCCAGACCATTTACATCTCCAAATCCTGACCTGATAGCCTCTTCTCTCCTCCCTGAACTCTACACCCTTCTCAATCCTTTCACATGCTGCCCACCTTCTCCCACTGCAGATGTAAGCGCCTTCTCATCCTCAAGACACAACACCCTTTCCCACACTCTGGACCTGATGCTCCCCTCTCTCCCTCCCTCCATCCCTCCAGACTGACCCTCCCTCTGAGCAGTCTGGGTTGACACCTCCGTCTCTTGCTTGCGCCCCTCTTTCTAGCCACTGGACCTGATTCGATTTCCCCTCCCCCAGGAAGCTGACCCCATCTTCCACTGCACTGCATCCACTTTACCCTTCCTCTGATCTCCACCCCTTCCCCTACACCCAATCTGGAATGCCCTCTGTAACAGCATTTTAGATCTACCTGCAGAAAATGGGCTGGAAAGAGTAGTCAGCTCATCAGCACCTTCTCAAGGGCAACTAGGGATGGCCTAGCCAGCGATGCCCACATCCCATGCGTGAATAAAGAAAAAAGAATTGCCTACCCACCTGGCACCCTACCCAATTAGTATCCTATTTCCCTGGCACCCTGACACCCTATTCAAGTGGCACCCTACAGACCTGGCACTTTAGCCTGCTACCCTCCTGGCAGCCTAACCTCACACTTACCTTATGCGCTTAACCTTTGATAGCAGCTAACAAAGGGCCTGTCTGTGATTCTGGACTTTTATGTTTTGGAATACAGAAGCTGACTACTGTGAAAAGGGAGTGTGGTTTGCTTTCCAGTTCTGTGCAAATAGAACTATGTGTTTCTGATGCAGTCCTGATTGGAATCTTCTCTCAGAAATGCAGAGCTTTCTCCTGTAAAACAGTAAGGGGGAAGGTTGCAACTCCTAGGAAAATCCAGCCCTAGTTTTCTTTTCTGTTTTTGATCAGATTGTGTAGAAGCAAGGTAGTGGAAATCTGGAACTCTTCCCCAAAAAGCTGCTGAGCTCAGGGGTTATTTGACATATTTTAAACTAGGACAAACTGGATTTTGTGAGGCTTGCAGTTTCAGGGTTATGGAACCAAAAGGTGATGGGATTTAATGTCGAGATGGAATGGTGAGACAGATTTCAGGCTGAATGGTGTTCTCTTGCATCTAGATTCCTATAGCGAGCTGAGATGTGTGCAGTGTGATTTGACACCAGATGTATGAGTTATTAGAATTTACATAACCATGTTAATTGAATATTTTTGTTTTTAGCTTTGGATCGACGGACATCAAACAAACGCACAGTTCATTCATTAACGTGGACATTAAAAAACCAAGTGCATTTGGCAACACAGGTAACACTCCTTCGACATCCAAGACAGCTGCAGGTAGCAATTGGACTCCAAGTTCAACCATCACAGGCAGTGGGAAACAGGTAGAGGTAACATTCTCTCTCCATAATCCCAGCAACACAACAGTCTCCACCTCTTCTGTTTCCCCTGCCAAAGAGGTCTCAGGTACAGAAGCCAAAACATTCCACTCCACACAGCAGAAGAGGGTGCTCAAACCGGGTACGGAACTGTTGGCAGGAGTAAAGGACGGCCTCCAGTCTCCAATAGACAAGAGCCCTGCAGCAGTGACTCCCTTTGAGAAGGGCACGAGGAGTCCTCAGGGTTTTGGGAGCAGCCATCAACCTGCATTAGACCGGGTCACGGAGGAATCACCAGCGAGACAGAGCTGGGTCCAAGGCAAATCAGCCACTGAGACAGGTCAGTATGTCCCTGCACAAATTCTATTGCCAGAAGCTCCACCTCAGCTAATACTGCTTTGCATTCATTACTTTCATTATGCCACAAGTACAGATTATAACAGAAAGTCAATTTGATGATGGAGCTAATCTGCACATGAAAATTGGCATATTTTGGTAATATTTCTTAAAGCACAATGTCGACACCTTTGATCTTCAGCAAGAGAATCATTGGGGAAGCTATTTATTAACAAATCTAATTTTCACACTTAAATCTCTCTCTTTCAATGAGTGCAGTTCAGATTTTATAAGGTATGCCTGACGTTTACTGTATAATTAAGCAGTGATAATTATGCTACACATTTTACTCAAAGCGATGCTATGTCACAGGATTAAAGGAAAAATCAGAGAGCCTTGATTGCTTTGTGTATTACTCTTCTGAATGAAGATCATGTTGGTTACTAAGGAAACCTCAGGACCAGTAAAAAGCTCAACAACAACATTGCATTTGTAGAGCACTTTAACATAGTAGAAACCTCCCGAGGAGCGATTATCAAACAAAATTTGACATCAAGCCACAAGAGGTGCTGCAACAAATGAGGAAGCATCTAAGGTGTGTCTTGAAGTAGAAAAGCATAGCAGTGATTTAAGGTGAGAAGTTAGGTCAAGGGAGTTTAAGGCATGAACACCAATGGTGGCATGACTAAAATTAAGGAGATGAAGAGGACAGAATTGGAAGGCAGTAGAGACCTTGGGAAGACTGTACAACTGGGAGAGAATACAGAGATAAGTGGGGAGGGTAGTGTGCAAGGCCAAGAAAAATGGGTCAAATTATAAAGCTTTATTGACCTATCCTGTTCCAATCTGGCAGGATTCACTGGAACAGGAAGAGGCCATTCCACAGCTTGATCTTGTTCTGCTGTTCAGTGACATAATGGTTGCTGTGTATCTTAATTCCTTCACCCTACCTTGGTTCCTTTATTTCTAAAAAAACAGCTAAGATGAGGGCAGTTGCCCTTGGCATCAAGGCAGCATTTGACCAAGTATTACATTAAGGGACTCTAGAAAAACTGAATTTGATGGGAGTCATGAGAAAACTCTCCACTAGTGGAAGTCCTGCTGAGCACAAGGGAAGATGGTTGTTGATGTTGGAAGTCAATCAAAAATCATGCAGTGGTTACAGCAAAGAAGGAGATCATTCAGCCCAATTTGGTCATGCTGACCAAGAGCATCGCAATATGTCCTACTCCCCTGCCATTTCGCCACAGCCCTGCAATGTTTTTTCTCTTCAGATAATTATCCAATTCTGTTTTCAAAACCTCATCTCGCTAACAGAACGAGACTCTCAGACAGTGTATTCCAGATCTTAACCACATGCTGTGCAACAACATTTTTGTTCATGTCATGAATTATCTCAGCTCCAGGACCTCTCTGCAGCAGTTCCTCAGGGTAGTGTCCTGAGCCTCACCATCTTCAGCTGCTTCACCAATCACTCCATCGCAAGATCGGGAGTGGGGATGCTCGTGGCACAATGTTCAGCACCATTCGCAACACCTCAGAGACTGAAGCAATCCATGTCCAAATGCAACAATATCTGGTCAATATCCTGGCATGGGCTGATGAGTGATAAATAACATGCGTGCCATACAAGTGCCAAATAATGATCATCTCCAACAAGAGAGATCTCAACCAAATACTTTTAACCTTCAATGCATTAACATCAGTAATTTCCCCCCACCATTAACATGCAGGGGTTACCATTGATCTGAAACTTAACTGAGCCAACCATATAAGCACTGGCTACAGAGCAAGTCAAAACTTTCTGAAGAAGGGTCCCGACCCGAAACGTCAACTTTCCTGCTCCTCTGATGCTGCCTGGCCTGCTGTGTTCCTCCAGCTCCACACTGTGTTATCTCTGACTCCAGCAGCGGCAGTTCTTACTATCTGTCTCTGAAGTCTCACGTAAGCCAGACCTGATAGGGATGGCAAATATTTTTCTCGAAAGGGCATTAGTGAGCCAGATGGGTTTTTGCAACAATTGATAGTGGTTACATGGTCACCCTTATTTCTGTGGTGAGTAATTCACCTACTTACTTCTCAAAACCTGTCAAACATCCACAAAGTACTCTCACTTGCTTGAATGAATGTATCTCCAACAACATTCAAGACATTTGACATTATCCAGGACAAAGAAACCTGCTTGATATGCATACCGAGCCATTGCCTTCAACATTTACTCCCTCCTCCACTCACTCACAGCTGTAGCAGCTTACCACCAATAGATGCAATAAGGTGACTCACCAAGCTTCCTTCAGCTGCACTTTCCAAACCTGTGACCTCTACCACCCTCGAAAGACAAGGCAGTAAAAGCAAGGGAACATCACCAACTGCAATTTCCCCTTCAAGCCACATGTCATCCTGATTTGTATCGCTGTTCCTTCACTGTCACTGGGTCAGTATCCTGGAATTTCCTTCCTTACACCACTGTGGACATACCTATGCTCCTGGACTGTAGCAGTTCATTAAGGAGGCTGACCATCACCCCTTGAAGGTAACAAGAGATTTGAGGTAAATGCTAGTCTTGCCCATGCTGCCCACATATTAAAAACATATTAAAAAATAAGCAACACATTTAGATCACTTTCAGTTTTGAAATGTTCAGTTGGCCCTAGCCCTAGGTTTTGGGGTGAGAAGAGTGTTGCAATTTTCCAGTATCCTTATGTAGAATAAATGATTCCTGATAGCATCCTGGAATTGTGAATTTTGAAGTTTTGTACAATCATCTATGCTTGAGGGAATATGAGACTTGTCATCCCACCTGACTTCATTATTTAACTCTTTAGTCCCAGTATCAATATATGCTTGGATTATTGTGTTCAATTCTGATTGACACATTACAGGAAGGATGAGGAGGGTTTGGAGAGGATACAGAAGAGGATGCTGCTTGGATTCAAGGATTTGAGCTATACGGAGAGGCTAGAAAAACTTGAGTTGTTTTCTCTGGTGTAGTGGAGAGTGAGGGGAGACTTAATAGAAGTCTATAAAATTATGAGATACGTGGATAGGGTTGACAGTCAGAATCTTTTTCCCAAAGTTGAAATGTCTAAAACTAGGGGGCATGCTTTTAAGGTGAGAGGGGGAAAGTTCAAAGGAGATGTGAGGGGCTAGATTTTTACACAGTGGTAGGAGTCTGGAATGTGCTGACAGGGGTAGTGGTGGAGGCAGATACATTAGGGGTGTTTAAGGGACTTTTAGATAAAAACATGAATATGCAAGGATTGGAGGGATATGGAACAAGGGCAGGCAGAAGGGATTAGCTTAATTTGGCGTCATGTTCGGCACAATAGGGTGCGTTGAAGGGCCCATTCCTGTGCTGTACAATTATATGTTCTATGACAGGTGAATCTGGGCTGCATCCATTCCAAGGCAGATGAATCCTGCCCTGAGGTGCTGTACCCCAACTAAAAGCTATCAGCCAAATGAGATGTGAGCAGAGGTTCATATGACTCATCACTTTGTGTTCCTTCTACCTTGAGATTTGCGTGATGTTATCGGATGGGATTTGATGGGATGATTTCTGACTACACCAGTTCTGAAATAGCGTTGGTTTAATTTTACAGCAAAGTCAGCAAGAGCAAAATTCTTTGAAAGCAACTACGTTCCAGAAGATTCCAAGAAAAGCCAAGGTCATGGTGACTCTACCACTACTCCTGAGAAGGTGAGAGTGAGTGAATGAGGAGGGAAGTTCACTCCATAACAACATGAATAATGTTTTAAACATTAGTTCATGGATTATGGGCCTCACTGGCTAGGCAAGCATTTATTGCCCATTCCTAATTGCTGTTTCAGGGGGCATTTAAGAGTCCACCACATTGCTGTGGGTCTGGAGTCACACGTAAGCCAGACCCGATAGGGATGGCAAATATTTTTCTTGAAAGGGCATTAGTGAGCCAGATGCGTTTTTGCAACAATTGATAGTGGTTACATGGTCACCCTTAGGCTGGCTTTAATTCGAGATTTTTATTGAATATACATTTCACCGTCTGTCAAGGTGGAATTCAAACTGTGTCTCCATAAAGAAGAACATTATTAGTAGAATAGCGTGAGGTTGAGGATGGGAGGGAAGGGGAGTGGGTAGTGCTGGGGTGAAGGGTATCTGTGTTAGTACATGTGTACATGGGTCACTGTATTTAATCTTGTCATCCCATTAACAGCCCTTTTCATGTGATCTCAGCGTTCACTCAGTCTTATCCACGGTCATTGTATGCTGTGTGCATTCACTGGTTGACTTGTATCCTGCGGTGTGCTTATCACCTTTCCTTCCCATTGAGGTAGTGTTAGCGAGACTGTCTGAGGGCTTTCACTTTATCCCGACGACACACTGCTTGTTATAGTGTGTTCCTTTCACTGGCCTTGGTCTTACTGAAATTGAAGCAAGACATTAGCCACGTGGGTCAGTGTATGTCACAAATGATCAAGCAGCCATGTCTGATCCATAGACAACTGACCAGGGTGGAAGCAATAGAGATGGGAAGAGAAATGTTTTTCTGAGTTTAAGTTTCTTAATTCCTCCCTGAGAAGGCTAATCTTAGTTGCCCTTGAGAAGCTACCACTGCGTTTTTATTCACAGAGAGAGCTAGCTGACTGTGGGAACAAATTTGTCCATTTGTCAGTCTTCTTGTCTGCATTTCATTTGAACTCTGAATTTCACGTTGCAGAGCACCTCCAGTCAGCGAATATCAGAAGAGGACATTCGGAATGAATTACAAGATATCGGGAAGAAGTTGGACGCACTGGAACAGAAGGGGGTCGAGCTGGAACCTCAGCTTCGGAGCTGTGAGGGAGGTGGGTGTCTGAGGCAAAGCAGGACCTGGGCTGGGCACCTATGCCCAAGGTTGGAAACGGAGGTTGATTGGATTTTTTTGTGCAAGAGTGTTAAGAGTTAAGGTAGAGATCAACAATAATAGAGTTACGTGAGGCTTTAATTAATACTTCGCATGAATATTATTCTGGGAGTGGTAGAGAACTGAAGGTCAAATGCAAATGAGAAACTGGGTATATTATCATCAGTCAAGAAATAGTACTGAAGTAATGAATGTGTATTAATGACATCAAATGCTCTGCATCTGATTAGCCAAATGCTAAAGTTTAAGAGAAGTAGCTAGAGAGATATTGGATGCATCGCCTTGATCTTCCCTAGATTCTAGAACAGTCCCCATCAATTTGAAGGTAACACATGTAATTCCATTATTCAGTAAAAGAGAGAAAGACAAATAAAACTGGGGCCTGTGGCCTAGCATTAATCCTGAAGTTGGGCAGCACTGTATAGAAGCAGTGAAAGCTATAGTGACAGGAGGATGTTTAAGAAAAGCTTTAAAGATTCATTCATTGATAACTTACCACAATGCTTAAAAAAAAATGCCTTTCACTGTTGCCTAATAAGCTGTAATGAATTTCCTGACCATTGAAAATACCAATAGCTGTAACTGTAAGCACTCAATACCTCTTGAGCTTGTGTAAATAAATGTTGTGAAATTGACTTAGATAAGAGGGCCATAGTTATCCATCAAGCAGGGGCTCAGGTGTTTTTAACCAAGCAATTGATGCCTCAGCTCTCAGCCTCTTTCCTAGCAATCGTTGCATGGAGACAATGATTAGAGTGCTGCAAACAGGTCAGAGAGCCTTTGGGCCTATAGCTTGACCTGGCCTTCCTTGGTAGTTGCTAACCTCTCCATGGAGGAAGCCATGTGCTTAAGTGTCGGAAACCTGGCAGAACCTAAGGCATGTATGCATCCTCTATAGTCTATGCAAAGCTGCTCATACCCCAGTATATCTGCCACGTATTTTTCTAATCTTTGCCACGTGCCCAGCAGACAACTTGCAATCATGACCTGATGCCCAGTAATACTTAGTATCAGGAACTTCAGCCATCACAGCTTCCTTCAGCTGCTCTGATGTGTTTATGCTATACTCACAAAACAGTATCCACTTTTCTCAATGCACGCCCTCACCACCACCTGGGTGGGTACAGCTGAGCTGGTGAGTGAGGAAGAGATGGGGCATGGTGCATCCTCTGCAATCTGAATTGCAGGCACCCGTAAAGGAGAACTAAAATAAGCATGTTGTCATTGCAGAGTCTGTGAGCGCAGCACCATTCCTTCTGTGGTCCTGAGTGCCCATTGTAGCAACACCACTCATTGTAGCTACCTTATCACTCCAGCTTCACCTCCCTCTTCCCCAGCAGTCTGGAAGGATCTTCCTCAGTCAGTGTGAGGGCCTTAACATTGGGAATCCCTCTGCCCATCATCAATCATATCTTCAGGTTATGTGTCTGATTGTCCTGTAGGAGAAAGTGGAGGTTTAGTGAGTTGACAAATTCCAACTGAGACCTTTGTCTACATGCATCCCCATCATTCATACAGGAGCATCGGTGTGTTTGGTTGTATCCATTCATTCATTCTGCCATACAGTCTTGACATTCATCAGTCTGCCTCCCCCATTCCCCTGGATGAATTGAAGGAGGTCATTGATGCGTTTACAACACCGGATGCAGCATCTTTAGTGAACCCTACAATTCTCAACCTTCCCTGTGATCTCCATCCAGGCTGCTTTGACATAACCCTATCACAGGAAGGGTGTCATTTACCACCACTAATAAAGAGCACCTCCCCACCCTCTGAAATTGGGAAATGTATTAACACAGGTATTAAACTGAAGTACCTGCACATGCTTTTATAAAAATCTCAGAAATCCAGCATGCAGCTACAGCTGACAATTTGGGAAGTCAAAAATATGTCTGCCTTTGTCACAGTGATTTGGAATGTAATCATAAAGAAGTCTTAACATAGTTATGCAGAGCTGTGTTATATAGAGTCCTGAAAGCAGTTCAGATCTCCTAAGGAAGGATAAAACAAACTTGAAAAGACCAAACATGAGGCCAATTCCTGAAATGTGGGGATTGTCCAAAAGAGAGACATTGAGTAGATTAGGCTTCTATTTCTTGAAATTTAGAAGAATATGAGGTGATCTCACTGAAACATAGAACATTCTTAAAGTGTTTGAAGGGATGGATGCTGAAAGAATGTTTCCCCTAGCTGGGGAGTCTAAAAGGAAGAGTCACTTCACTATCATTTGGATCCTGAGGGAATTCAATGATATGGAGATTGTACAACAGTCAAGTTGAGGTTGGTGATTAACCATGTATATGCTGAATGGCGGAACAAGCTTGCAAGGCTGAATGGCCTACGTTTATTCCTATTCAAACCAACCATGGAAAACGGAAGAGCAAGCTAGTGGAAGTGAGGTATCATTCAGTCTGAGCTTTGCCGATTGGGGATCTGAAAATGAATTGTTGGAAAGTTGAAGGTCACCACGTCAAAAAATACCAGCTGTAAAGTCCTAACTCATTTCCTACCCTCACAGGCCCTGCTTTGAAGGCTATACTATCAAACTCAAGTCAGTTACACACCCTCCTTGTCACCCTGCCTTTCTGATATTATGCTGTTATGTTAAGCAGGTTGGTAAGACACCCACAGAAAAATAACTAGAATTGTTCTTAAATACAGAGATTAAGTACTGGATTTGAGGGGTAGGGGGAAACACGAATAGCTTCCTCGTTCATGAGGCCGGTCATTTTGGGAGAGGATCGGGGCCATCAAGGGGCCCAGGCTTGAATGTTCTACTTTATTCGTGGGCTAGATGGGTTTTCTTTGAGCCTCACCAGAAACTTAGGGCCTCCCTTGACTCTGAGTCTTCCTCATCCCTGATCTTAAATACTCCTTTCTGCCTACTGCAACTTACATGACTCTGGATATGTGTTGCATGGGCCCTCTTGCCACCCAAGTTCCCAGTCTCACCCCCTACTGGCTACCAGGCAACCAGGGTTCTGATGGTTCCCCTGGTTCAAGAGTGAAGGGATCATAGTCTCAGGATCAGGGGTTGGCTATAAAGGACAGAGATGAGGAGAAATTTCTTTACTCTGACAGATGTGAATCTTTGGAATTTGCTCCCCATGAGGTTTGTAGATGCTCAGACGACAAATATATTCAAGACAGAGATCAGTAGATCTTTGGGCATTAAGGGAAACTTGGGATATTAAGATTGGGTGCAATTGAATTAGGAGATCTCCCATGATTTAATTGAATGGTGTCACAGGTTAGAGATACTGAGGCCAAATGTCATATTTCTACTTCCATTTTGTATGTGTCTTCGCTAGTGGCACCTTGAAGGTGGACCAGGCTTTCTGAACCAATCATATTTCCCACTGACCAGTGTGTAGCTGATGTCCTTTGTCATATTATGTGCAGATTCCCAGTGAACAGCCTGGTGTGAGCCGTGAACAAACACAGCTTGTGTGATTTGACTACAGCGTGCTTGCGGATTTCTGTTGATTGTCAATTCACCTGTTTTTAGAAATTCTGGATTTTTTTTCCCTTTTATTGAACACAAACAGATGAAAATGAGGACGAGTTGATGGTGGAGTGGTTCAAACTAATCCATGAGAAACAGTTGCTGGTGAGACGGGAATCTGAGCTCGTTTACATGTGAGTAGTAAGTGGATGGGAGCAAGGGGGAGACTGGACTCAGGCAATTTCAATGCTACACATTGTAACGGGTACCCTGCTTACCCAACCCTCCCTCTCTCCTGGCAAAACTCTCTTTTCCTCCCTTTCCAAGCCTTCTCACCCTACCTTCTAGACTTTCCAACCCTCCCTTCCTTTTGACACTTGGAAAAATCAGGTCTGTTCTTTTGCAATTAAGCAAATTATAAGAGCAAGGCATTTAAATATGCGATAGGATGGAACAAATTGGATTGAAACCGACATAGCAGTGATTAATAGAACAGGGGTGTATAGAAGATGAAAGAAAAGACAGGGATGGAGAATAGGAGGAACCTTTCTGCACTGAGGATTGTGAGGAAATGAAATGTACAGTTAGTGTTTGGAGTGAGGTCCAAAGCATTATTTAAAAGCAGCTTTGATAGTTGGTTGAAGGAAAGGGTAGACACCGAACAGACACATGGGGTTAGGGTACTGGACAAGTGGAAGATAAATTCCACAATGGACTGTATGGGCTGAATGTCCTGTTTCCATGGTTCAATTCTGTATAATTGTCAAAGGAAATCCCTGCCTCCCCAAAGTGGCTCCCTCAATGCTTCTCTTCTTCCCTTCTGTGGAAACTATTTGGTTACTTCTTGGCTGTCCATACAATAGTGCTCGGTTCAGCTAGTTTCTGTATTACCCTTTGTGTGAAATAGCAACTGCAAGATTTCTTGCTTATTCGTAACAAATATTTATGATGTTACATAGAGTGCACAGCCAACAGACCAACTAGTTTATGCTGGTATTTATGGAGGCTGAGGGTGACCTTTTAGAGGTTTATAAATAATGAGGGGGCAGGGTGAATAGCCAAGGTCTTTTTCCCCAAGGTAGGGAGAGTTCAAAACTAGAGGGGCATAGGTTTAAGGTGAGAGGGGAAAGATTTAAAAGGGGCCTGAGGGGCAACTTTTTCACGCAGAGGGTAGTGCGCGCATGGGACAAGCTGCTAGAGGAGGTGGTGGGGATAGGTACAATTACAACATTTAAAAGTCAACTAGATGGGTACATGAATAGGAAGGGTTTAGAGGGATTTGGGCCAAATGCTAGCAAATGGGATTAGATCAGATTGGGATATCCGGTTAGCGCAGACGAATTGGACCGAAGGGTCTGTTTCTGTGCTGTATGACTGTGACTCCACACAAGCTTGCTTCCAACATAATTTGTCTAATTTAATCGTCATATCCTTCCTGTCCTTTCCCCCTCCTTTATTTAGCTAGCTTTCCTGTAACTGCATTCAGTTCTTCCCCTATTGAATGTATTCAAGCGGCGGCTAGATATAGCACTTAGGGCGAATGGGATCAAAGGTCATGGGGAGAAAGCAGGATTAGGCTATTGAGTAGGACGATCAACCATGATCAAGATGAATGGCTGGGCAGGCACGAAGGGCCAAATGGCCTCCTTCTGCTCCTATCTTCTATGTTTTTATATTTCTGTGCTAATGAACAATTTCATCAGTGTGAACAGCTTGCTGGATCCATCACACCATTGACCATGCCCACATCCCCCAAGACTCACCTCCACTGGGAATATGCCTGTTGCCTTTGAATTTCCTTTCAGCTTTTGCTCCTGAATCCAGGTATGAATTGGCACAAACACTATACCTTTGTTTTCGTTGACAGATCAAAGCAGCAGTACCTGGAGGACCGTCAGGGTCAGATCCTACGGGAGTTACGAGTGTTGATGGAAAAAGCAGGTCAGTTAGAAACCATTGTTGGAAAGAATACGATATCTAAATTAAAGCAGATTCAGAATACTTATGAGGATTATACTGTCCTTGACTTCCTACACAGCTCAAGGATCAGGGCCTTGTCTTTCAATTAGACACGTCACAGTCTTCCAGACTCAGCATTGAGTTCAGTGATTTCAGATCAAAACCACTGCTTCTCCCAGGCAGCAGATACTGCTATTGTTCTGCTGTTGCCAGTTATACTTCCTTCAGACCCATCATTTATTTATTTTTATCCCTTGGGCCTTACGCCGTCCATCTTCTTGCTATTTAAACCCTCCAGCCTTTCATCCTAACACTGAGCTTCCCTTCTGTTCTGTTCTGTAACCAACCCCACCGACCTCACCCCTAGAGTGACCAATACCAGAGGTCACCAAAACTGGACATCTCCAGCAACATTGCGAATGGGGATGGTGTCAACACTTACAACCGCGATATCAGCGTGTGCGGATGTTTCCATGGCAAGGAGAGACAACAGGCTGGGGTGTGGGGCAAGGGTGGGAGGAGGGTTATGAGAAGACATCCAAACAAAGTTGACTTTTGCATTCCTTTTGAATCAAGACTTCTGCTGCTGGAAAGGAACGAACACAGACCCGTGTTGGTACGTTAACAATGTGCGCAATAAGGATCAAAACACTGGATGTTAGACCATTGAGTAATGGACAGTGGGCCAGGCCAGCTTAAAAACAGGACTGTCCTGTGCAAAACTGGATGTTTGGTCACATTAACTGCACAGCAGCAGCAGCCCCTTTCCCCTGACCCCCAACGCTTTTTCCCTCTACTTTGTCATAAAATGTCAAATTTCTAAATTTTTTCCAGTTCTGCTGAACGATCATTGATTTGAAATGTTCTCTGCTTCATCCTGCGCAGGTGGTCCCTGACTTATTGAGTATTTCTCTATTTTATTTGTAAGAAACTGTCTGTGTTGACAACTGTTCTAACCTGATGAACCTGCCCAACAGCAGAGTGCTGGGAGCTCTCTCAGCCTGTCCAAGACCCATTTACCCAGCTTAGCTAGATCGTAGGCTGTTGTCAGAGAAAAGCCATGCGATAGTCCAAGGAAGCTTTTGAAGGAAATTCTTAAGGAGCTGTGACTTCAAATAAACCTCCCATTTGTCTGCCTCCTGTTCAAATGACCTATGCTATTTAAGAAATAATGCTATGAATTAAACTGTTCCCAGAGACTAAAATAGAAACTGAACAATAATTAACAGCAACTTTATATATACAAGATCTTTTAATGTAATAAAATGGCCCAAGGCCTTTCACAGGAGTGTGACTGAAGTAAAATTGGTCCCAAGGCATGTAAGAATTTATTAGGACAGCTGACCAAAAGTTTTCTCTTTCTGATCTGTTGTCGTTGCAGAGGACAGTAAAACTGAGCAAGATCATCTTTGTGAAAAGGAGTTGATGGAAGAGCTATTGAGAACAGTGGACGGCAGGAATGAAATAATCGATGGACTGGATGACGACAGAGTGAGGTATGAGATGTGCAATCCAGGTTCCAGTATAGGTGTCTGACTTCCAGTGGAGATGTTGTTTAGTGAGGGGTGGGTGCTGGGGAATATCCAACTTTTCCCACTGTGCCAGAATTGGGAAGAGCAGAAATATTAGCATCAGGAATAAGGTCAGTTTCTGTGGTGAATCTGCCCCTTTGTAATTGATAACAATGCCACAACATCCCCAATCTATTCTAGCTCAAGAATTGTATCTGATGGTATATTGATCCTACCTGGACTATTTAATTCAACAATCTTTTCTATTAATTATCACCTAGCTTTTATTACCTTTTTTGGTCAAAAAATTTCCAACTTCCTCATTTTGTCTACTAAACTTTGTGTTTTGACCCTTCACTGTGATGTGGATTTTAGGGGATTCCTGATCACAGTTACCTAATATAGGCAATTGATGATTTGTAGCAATTTCCTTATAGTTTATTGAGTTTGTTAAGAAACAGAGGTTTGGATATGATGCATTAGTTAATGAGATTAGTACAACTGTGACAATTGGGGATGGTTCACTGAGAGCAGAGGATAAGCAGGCTATCGGTGCAGAATGTTTCAGTCTCGTTAAAGTCTTCCTTCTCTTCTTCTGGTCTGTCTTCCATCTGGAGAAGACACCTCTCTCAGGACAGCCCAATGAGAACTCCTCAATGAGAGCTCCCTGAAGACACTGCTCCTCTGCGCCGAGACTTATTGTTATATTTCTAGGCCCAGTTAGTCTATGTTGTGCCAATCAATTGTCTGAACACTTGTGGCCTATGGGATTGGGACAGCTACTCATGACATTGGATGACCATTGTCCCTTTGCCCATCTCGATTTATCCACCAGGTAAAATGTTGACGCTAGTTCAATGCACATTGTGACCTCAGTGTTTCTTGTAATTCTCCCATTTTGTTTTCCTATGCTAGGAGTTTGGAAAGTTAATTGCTGCTGTAATAGCTGTTACATGAAATCTCATGCTACACCAGTAGGCACTAATAATATTCAGTTTTTAAGTGCCTCTAATTTACAACAACAAGCAATTTGCATTCAACTTTTTCAAACCCTCTCATACTCAGCAAAACGGACACAAGGAACAGGTGGAAACCTGCTAGTTACAACTGAAGAGCAAGTATAATCTGAATGGTGGTCTGAATGGCCTCCACTCTCATTGTAATGTCTATGATTTCAGCCGACCTTAGAGTCTTTCTTTCCTACTCCTTCCTCCCCACAAAGAATTAATGCATCTTGAATCATCTCACAAGTCTGTGTATCAATACCAAGGCCAGGTTTATAAAGAGTGTACTGGATTACAGGTCTTTGTCCCTCTTCACGATGAGACTTGACTGCTTAGTGCCAATATTGAGCTTATTTGAACTCCTCTTAATTCATGTGTTCAAATGAATATTGACCAGGAAAAACAACTCTGAACTGACTTTACTGGGGATCCTCCAGAAACTGTCAGAGGAGAATTTCAGTGCTTTAGTCTGCCAACTCAGAGACAATAGGCTTTAATTGTCAATGATCAAACCACCTTAAACTTTTATTGAAGATTTGGAGTTGTCCAACAGTTTTAATTTTAACTAACCCATTCATGGCATAGTATTTTGCACTGCACTCTACTGTCCAATCACAGCAAACAGAGGAATAGTTAAGTGTGTGCCATCTGTCGCCGTGTCTCTGCCATGTGGATGAATGCCATCCTGGCAATCTGTCGTACTCCACTCACTGCTGCCTGCAAGTGCACAGCTGATCTAAAGAGAAATTCCCATGTGAAATAAACTTAGCAAATGCCCCCTTTTTAATTCTGTGGAAACTTCATTGTATTGCTCGTGCTGCCCATCTGCCCTGTATCTGGTTCCTGCTCTCACCAGTTTCTTGCTAACATCACCGAGGAGCAACATATAAGGCTTTGCATTGTCCGGAAGACATGGTGCCAGGAAATTTAAGTGGCTGCTTCCCGAACAACAACAACAACTTGCTTTATCTAGCAGCTTTAACGTAATAACATGTACTTCCCAGGAATAAATTCAGGCAGAAATTGACATCAAGGAGCTATCAAAAGGGGTTATTAAAAGAGATAGGCTTAATAGAAGGAGGAAAGGGGCAGAGAAGTTTAGAAACAAAACTCCAGAGTTTAGGGCCTGCACACATCTGGAAGCAGTGAAGTAGTAGTGGTGAATTGGTGACAAAAGGGATATGCAAGATGTGAATAATCACAGAGCGCAGAGATCCTGAATGCTGTAGGGAGTTACAGAAATAGGGAGGAGCCAGACTATGCAAAGTCAATTTATACACCCAGATGAGAATTTTAAAATAGAGAGTGTTGTCAAGTTTGAGGCCACTATAGATCATTGAGTAAAGGAGTGGCGATGAACAGGACATGAGCTGTGTTATAGGAGAGGCACCAGAATTAGGAATGAGCCAACCTGGAGAACTTAGGAAAAATAAAATTTGCAGGTAAGAAACCATTTCAATACAGGCAATTCCCAATGGTATCGCAGGTGACTTCCTTTCAAGTTGGATAATTTATTTGGTCACCCATACATGAATAAAATAAAAGGTACCTCTGGTCATTACTGCTCGTTACTCTTGGTGGCTATGGAAGGTACCTGAGAGCAAGAGAGGAAAAGTACTTGAAAACCTTATTAATCACTATCAGGGGCTTGGACGTTCATGGCTGCCACCTTCAGCAGGGCTGCGGTTGAGATTCACTCTCGGGAATACTGCAGTGCATCACACCATGAGGAATGAGAGCTTGGGCTGTGCCCAGTGTTTTCTAGATTGTGAACGTCTGCTTTCAAATGTGAAGTTTGCGTTCTCTTTAACTTGGTAGACAGCGACAGTCTGTGAGCAGTGAGATTTAATCTTGACAGCTGAGGAGTTGAAAACCCACTGCACTGGGCAACAGTTTTACAGTCTAACTTCATCCAAAAGCTGCATAGTTAATATTTCGCTGTTGACTTGTGGGAGGAATTAAGCCACACAACTTAAATATAAACATGCTGAACAATTAGTTTAAGGTGCAAGAATCTTTTGAATGGGGTTGCTAGTTTTACAAACCACTGTAAATTTATTTTAGGAGCTGCTTATTTAGCTATCAAATCAATCTGGAGCTTTTAGAGAGACCAGCTCATGTTGATTGACTGCTACAATTGATTTGACTAAAAAGAAAACTATTAAATAGATTACCGTCAAATTGATGTAGACATTGTGACAAATTGTTACTTACTTTTTAAGTAATCTGTATAGAATATTGACACCTGCAATTATAATACACGACTGTAATCTATTTGCTTGTTCAGATTCAATAAATTTGTTTGTCACTTAAAGCTTAAGATGAGATCTGATAAAGGACACAGACGTAAGGTAACCGGGTGAGAGAACCAGGGGTGACATAAGGATTTTATTTTCTTTACCTAGTTTGTTGTGATCTGGAAAACACTGCCTAAAAGGATGGTGGAGGCAGATTTAATAACTTTTGAAAGGAAATTATATGTATAGTGCATATGCAGGGGATAAGTTTATGGGGCTATGGGAAAAGAAAAGGGAAGTGGGCTGAATTGGATAATTCATTCTTGCCTTTTTCCTGTGCTGTGAGAGTCTATGAAAAGGATCCAGTGGTGGCATTGGTTAAGTCTAGTAACAAAATGGAATACAAAAAATAAGTTGCTCTCTAATCATTATCCTAGGATGGCAATTAAACTGAATGGGAGTAAAGATAGTCACAAAACTCTATGGAAACATAGAAGCTAGGAGCAGGAGTAGGCCATTCAGTCCTTCTAGCCTGCTCCACCATTGATCAAAGTCATGGCTGATCCTCTACCTCAATGGAAATATTCCCACTTACTCCCCATAGCCCTTGATGCCTTCAGAATCTCAAAATTTATCTGTCTCCTTCTTGAATATATTCAGTGACTTGGCCTCTACAGCCTTTTGTGATAGAGAATTCCATAGGTTCACTACCCTTTCAGTGAAGAAATCTTTCCTCATCTCAGTCCTAAATGGTCTACCTCATATCTTGAGACTTTGCCCCTAGCCAGGGAAAATGTCTCCTGTGCATCTAGTCTGTCCAGACCTGTTAGAATTTTATATGTTTCAATAAGATCCCCTCTCATCCTTCCAAATCCCGTGAATACAGGCCCAGTTGAACCAATCTCTCCTCCTATGACAGTGCCCTATATCAGCATGGTGAACCTCTCTCTATAGTAAGTATACCCTTTCTTAGGCAGGGAGACTAAAACTACACATAGTCCTCCAGTAACGGTCTCACCAAGGCCCTGTATAACTGCAGTAAGACAATGCTGCTTCTGAACTCCAATCCTTTTACGTGGAGGCCAGTATACCATTTGCTTTCTTAATTGGTTGCTGCACCTGCTCTACTTTCATTAATGGGTTTACAAGGATAGCCAGATCCCTTTGTACATCTACATTTCCCAATTTATCATTTTTAAATTATTCTCCTTCTTTCTGTTTTCTACACCTAAGTCTGTAGCTTCACATTTAGCCATGTTGTACTATACCTGCCATGTGTTTACCCACTCACTCAACTTGTCTAAATCATTTTGAAGCCTCCTTGCATCCTCTGCATAACTCACAATCCTGCGTAGTTCTGTGTCATCAGCAAACTAAGAATAGTTACATTGGTTCCATCATCCAGGTCATTTTTAATAGATAAGCCCCAAGCACCGATCCTGTGGTGCCCCATTAGTCACTGCCTGCCACTTTGAAAAAGACCCATAAATAGTGCTACAAGTCACCCGAGTGTGAAGGTGCACCCAAGGATGACAAGACTGATCTGAGAATAATCCACAAAACTGAAGGGGCAAAAAGAGGGTGCCGATGTGACCTGTCTCACAATAAGAGAGATAAAATCTGATAAAACTGGTAGTTAGAGCTCCTGCAGCTCTTATTAGAATTCTTTATCATCTCCATGAAATCTGGGGTAGCCCTGTCTTCTATAAGCATTCCATGGTTTTGATGCTGAGCCAGCAGGATGAAGAGGAGAATGGCACTGATTAGCAACTCCACCATGATCAGAGCCACATGGGGTGTTGGTCTGCTGATGACCATAAGGATCCCGAGCTTGGATCCTCATGGACTGCAGTCTGTCCCATCTGTAATAGAAGTCTCAAACATGCTGGGAACTATGATTCAGAAAAGGGTAACTTGTGGAGGCCATAAGTAACTCTCAGGATAACTGGATTATCTGATTGATAAGGACATGTTACAACTTGTGAGGTGCTAAGAACAGGCCTTCTGACCCCTCATCTGAGCTTGGGGAATCAGATAAATACTTTATAATAAGAGATGTAGACTGTCAATTCTGCCCCTGTCCACGACATGTGTGCATGCACCTATCAATGTATCTGGACATGTGTGTCTGTGCATGTCAGTATGTGCTGAGGCATAGAAAGGATGCATCTGATCAGAAATCAAGTCCCTACTTACAGGATGGTGGGGAGGGTCTCCATTTGGCCATATTACCGAGCAATCATTGAGGTTCTGAATAGAGGACACTGGCAGCTGGGCCATATCTGTTAACATTGCCAAGGAAAATGCATAGATCTGGAGGGGAAATGCTATGTTTTTTAATACAGTAACTGTGATGTATTCTCCCATTACAGAGAAATGGAAGAAGATCAGATGATGGAAGCCATGATTAAAAGGATGGGTAGGAAAAAAAACTTCTTAATCATTTTTTTTAAAATGTAGAAGGACCATTTTTCAATACTCTTCTGCTTTCCATCTCATTTTCCCCTTTCCATATTTTCACTAATGTCCTTTAGGGAAGGAAACTGCCATCCCTTAACGTGGTCTGGCCTACATGTGACTCCAGACCCACAGCGATATGGTTGCCTCTTAACTGCCCTCTGGGCAATTCTGGACAGACAATAAATGCTGCCTAGTCAGCAATGCCCTCATCCTGTGAATGAATTTCAAAGAAAAATCTCTTCTTCCCCACATTCCTAGCCCCCTCCTTCTTATTCCTAACCTCTTTCCCTTTCACCCTTTCCCTCTCTCCTTCGTACTGTTTTTACCCCTCCCTTCTTGCCTCTGGAAACCATCTCTCTTTGGTTTCTCATCCCCTTTTCTCTTTGCCCCTTTTCTCCCCCTCTCCACTTCATCTTGCCCCTCCCTGTCCCTCCACCTCTCACTCTGTCTGCCTCTTTTCTCTTTGACAGACATGAGCAAGGAGACAGAACACGACTTGAAGAAGAGGAACAAATTCAGTCCATTAAAGTTTCTGAAGGGACTTGCTGCCAAACCAAAGGGAAAATAATGTGAGCTGGCATCTTCAGAAATCGCCATGTACTTTTCTCAGTGCCAAACTGCTATTGACTGAGCTGCTACTGTCGCAAACTTGTAATCAAAAGCAACTCTCTTAAACGCTTATGTGGCATTAACCTTGTTCTCTGAATAAAGGAAGCTGTTTGTGCTGGGCTTGCGCAGCAGGATATTTCCTGTTGCTATGGAACTCTGTGGCAAAAAAAACTAAGAGTAACAAAATCCTGTACTTTGCTTATTTGCTTGGGAAAATGAGGAGTGAACCAGTGTTGGATGCTGTCAGCCTCCTCTAAGCTCCAAGGGTTTGGACATAACATTTGCTTTTTAAAGGGAGATGTGATCATGTCATTGGACGATGTCTACAACAACAAAAAGTTTCAGTTATATAGCATCTACCACACAGCAGAGCTTTCCAACAGTGCTTTACAGGAACATTGTCAGGCAAACATTGACACAGAGCCAAGTAAGGAGAAGCCATGGCAGGCGACCAAAATGTGGGTCAAAGTAATAGGTTTTAAGGAAGAGCCAGAGGTGGAGAGATTTAGGAAGTCAATTCCAGAGCTTAGAGCCAAGGCAGCTGCAGTCACAACCATGTTGCAGTTGAAGGAGGACCATGTTAATGTTCAGACACCTGAATATTCTGCCTCAATACAAAGAGTTGACAAAGAAAGCCCAAGAACACTGATTTTGTAAGAATGAATGGATATAATGCCCAGTAATATACCTAAATGAGTGGGATCTATGTTTCCTTGGTTAAAGCCATTCTTGCAATGTTTTTCGCGAACTTACTCTACTTCTAATCATCTGTAGTATGTACTCTCACCAGTCAAATGAGCAGACTTGAGATGTACTCTATGACCTCTACCAATGGCAATCCATAATTGACTGGTAGGTGTGGCTGTTCATTCATTTTCTCATCCATTGTCCTCCGTATCTGTACAATCCTTCTCTCTCTCTCAACCCTTTTGGATCTGCTTAATTTCTGTTCTGAGTGTTGCCACTGATGAACTTGTGCTCAGAACAGCCATTGCCCTACACTTCCTTTAATGGGAAGACTGGTTAGGGGTAGTGGGTAGTGCCCTGTTTGTTGCAGAGGGGTGGGGATTAATTGGAGGATCAAAGTGCTGAGCTTTAGGATGCTCTGCATGAAGGCATTTTTTTTAAAGTGGCTCATTCTTTGGTAATGTTATTTTATCAAAAAATCAAGTTGTAACTGAGCTAACAGCTCTGCATCGCAGCCACTGATTGTTTGGAAAATTCATCTTCAAAAACACTGCTTCTGATAATGGGTTGTGATCTCTCCAGGCTTCAATCTTTGCAGTTCTGCACGATTGGGCACATATCTGGGGAAGAAAAAAGGGAGATGATTTTGGATTTAATTGGTAAAATATTTGGGGTGAACCATGTCCTTCATTTTGTAGAATTTTTAATAGTTTTCAGCTTTCTTTGAGTTGTGTTGCATTATTTCCTACACCATTTCATCATGTTGTACTGTTCTGTAAGGCTGGTTCTTTTGAGAAAGAAAAACTTGGATTTGCATACTGTCTTTCACAATCTCTAGAAGTCCCAAAGGGCTTTACAGCCAGTGAAGAATGTTTTGAGGTTTAGTCATCTTTTTTAGTGTGGGAAATACAGCAAATTTCCATGAACAACAATTAAAAAAAATGATAATCTACTTCAGTGATGTTGGGTGAGGGTCAAGGATTGGACAGAACCATACTTTGCAGTTTTTGAATAGATCTTTTATATCCAAGGGCAAAGAGGACCTCTGTGTAATATCTCATCTGAAAGACTGCACCTCTGATAGTCTTCACTATTGGACAAAAATTTGACACCAAGCTAAAGGAGATAAGAGGACAGGTAGGAGCAGGTTTTGCCAGAAAGAAAGATTTTAAGCAACATTCCTAAAGGAGAAGAGAGAGGCAGAAGGGCTTCAGGAGGGACTTCTGAGCTTAGATGGCTAAAGACACAACTGCAATAATGGACAAAGAAAATGGTTTGTGATGGAGGAACACTGAAAAAACAGTGTAGGACTGAGGAAGATCACAGAGATGGGGAGGGGGCAGAGCCTTGGAAGGAATTAAACTTTTGCAAACCTCAAATTGCTTACTCCCGGTTGTGGTCCAGAACGAAGGACTTTTGGAATAGGTAGTGGGTGGCTGGGGAGAATGGAGTTGTGGAATGGAGTAACTAGGACCAAGATATTGGTGACAAACTTCAATTTAATGAGAGAAAGCTACCTCCTGAGAGCTTTGGTAGTTTGTAACTGAGATGTGAATTTCCATATTGGAGCAGTACAAATATAACAGATGATATGATTTAAAGCAAGTTCCAATGGTACTGACTACTGTTGAGGCTTGACCAGTATTATGGTAGCTGATTCTTACCCATCACAGACTAGGTACTAATGTCAAAGCAGTAAAAAATTGTGGGATATTAAATACAATAGACTTCATTATCAGGGTGGGGGGAAGTTAAAGCATGTGTTTCATAAAAAAAACTGTACTGAAAATAAAGATAAATTTCAAACCTGTGACATAATTTTCATTGGAATAAATATTGGTATTTCAAACATAAGAAAAAAATGAAAAAGATGTTTGTCCAAATTGTCACTGAAGTTTTCACTGAAATCATCTTGCTATCACTAACAAATGGGCTATTTCTGTTGTACTTATGTTTACACTTGAATTCAGTCCAAATTCCACTCTCCATATATTCATAAATATGTGACATTTCCAAGGAATCCAGATCCATGCTTACAAACACTATCATTTTTCCTCACAGTCATTCCAACTGAATTCCTCTCAACCAATGCTAATAGCAACTTTTGTTTATCTGCCTTTTAGCCAACTTGGAGTTATTCAAAATGAATCTGTTGGGCAATTACGCTTCAATCAGTCTGCTATGCATTATATGCAGTTTTAAGACAAATTCTCTCGGGTTATATTTCAGGCACATTGTGAGATTTTGGATGAGATTATTGAAGCATTATTTCAGAAGGACATTAGACACATATAACACAACTCATGTCCCAAATCAATCTGAGAGAGACTAAACTGTATTTATAGGAATCGGTTAACAAGCAGCAGCTTTTGGTTTAAAAGGTCATATTGCTTAATTGTGGTGTTAACGGCAAGAGTTTGTGTAACAGCGAGCCAAACTTTACAGCAAAATCCCCCTTTACTTTCCAGGAAGACCACCTCCTGTTTTCTCTTTTATTCCCATGAAGGTGCAGACCACCCAACCTTCCTTTCTGGTTTGCTTCCATCCTGGGCCTCCTGCAGTGCCACAACGATGCCACCCGAAGGTTGCAGGAACAGCAACTCATATTCCGCTTGGGAACCGTACAGCCCAATGGTATCAATGTGGATTTCACAAGCTTCAGAATCTCCCCTCCCCCTACCGCATCCCAAAACCAGCCCAGCTCGTCCCCACCTCCCTAACCTGTTCTTCCTCCCACCTATCCCCTCCTCCCACTTCAAGCCGCACCCCTATCTCCTACCTACTAACCTCATCCCGCCCCTTGACCTGTCCATCCGCCCTGGACTGACCTATCCCCTCCCTAACTCCCCACCTACACTCACCTTTACTGGCTCCATCCCTGCCTCTTCGACCTGTCTGTTTCCTCTCCACCTATCTTCTCCTCTATCCATCTTCTATCCGCCTCCCCCTCTCTCCCTATTTATTTCAGAACCCCCTTCCCCTCCCCCATTTCTGATGAAGGGTCTAGGCCCGAAACGTCAGCCTTTCTGCTCCTATGATGCTGCTTGGCCTGCTGTGTTCATCCAGCTCTGCACCTTGTTGTCTCTTCCTTTCTGGTTCCTGTTTTAGCTAATACTGTTCATATGCTCCCTCTTCAAATCTGCCATCATCATTTCTTTTAAAAAGAAATCAACCCTCAGTTCCACAGTCTTTCCAAACTCCAGCCCCTTCTCTTACCTAACTTGCCTTTCAAGTGCTTGAATGTTTTGCCATCTTTCAAATCTAGCACCATCTAACCCACGTTCGGGCACCTTCTACTGAGATTCTGCCCCTGCCACTGGATTGAAACCACTCTTAAAGTCATAAATTAAGTCTTCTGACAAAAGTAAACTTTCAACCCTCATGCTACTCGACTTGTCTGCCATCTTTGACACAGTTGACAATGCCATTTCACTGTTGTCCAGCTGGGTCAGACTGCTCTCACCTGATTCCATTCTAATAGAATCACTGCAAGGTTTTCTCTTCCTGTTCTCTCACTATTACGTCCAGGAGCGGTTGAGGACTCTGGATCAATGGAGTTTAGAAGGATGAGGGCGGATCTGACTGAAACTTACAGAATACTGAGAGGCCTGGATAGCGAGGGCATAGAGAAGACGTTTCCACTGGTAGGAGAGACTAGGACCCGAGGGCACAGCCTCAGAATGAAGGAATGACCCTTTGGAACTGAGATGAGGAATTTCTTCAGCCAGAAGGTGGTGAGTCTTTTGAACTCATTGCCACAGAGGGCTGTGGAGAAAAGTCAATGGGTGTATTTAAGACAGAGATAGATAGGTTCTTGATTAGTAAGGGGATCAAAGGTTATGGGGAGAAGCAGGAGAATGGGATTGAGAAACCTATCAACTATGATCGAAAGTCAGAGCAGATTTGATGGACTGAATGACCTAATTCTGCTCATACATCTTATATCCAATGGTCTGCATGTGTCCAAGTATATGTCATTGGCTGCCACCTTTTGTAACATCACCTGAAAGCACAGTGTTAGTTTTCACATGGAGACTAATAATATCCACTTGCACACTTGCCCCAATTTCTCTACTCATCTATTAATACTAAATATTCAGATGGATTTTCTGATAACCAGTACTGGAATCACAGAAATTTCCTCCTATTAAATATCAAGAAGATAGAAGACAATGTTTTTAGACCCTGTTGAAAGCTTTGAATGCTCGCTACTGATTTCAGCTCTTGCACTGGGAACAGTCTGAATCTAAACCAGTCTGTTTGCAGGCTTAGTGTTATATTTGACTCTGGGATGTGATTCCAACATATTTGTGCCATCACTATGATCATTGATTTTCTCCTCCATTTCTTTGCCTCTGTCTCAGCCGATATGCTGCTCAAACCTTCATTCCAAACTGGACCTATGCATTGCTGGCCAGCTTTCCACATTCTACCCTCCATGAACTAGAGATTATTCCTGAACTCCAATGTGTGTGTCCTTTTGTGCACTCAGTCCTGTTCACCTATCAGCCCCATGTTTGCTGACTTACATTAGTCTTCCAGTTGAGCATGCCCAGATTTTGAAATTTTCATCGCTGTTTTTAAATCTTCCCTAATTTTGCCCTCTCCTACCCATGTAATCACCTCCAGGCCCATTACCCTGCAAGATACTTGTGCCCATCCAATTCTGCCCTCTTAAGCATCCTCAATTTTAATCACTTCACCATTGATGGCTGTGCCCTCAACTCCATAGGCCTCAAGCTCTGCAATTTTCTCCCTAATCCTCTCTGTTTCTGCAACTCTCTTTCTCCCTTTAAGACACCCCTCTAAACCTACCTTTTTGGTCAACCTTTTGGCCATCTGCTCTAATGTTTCCTTTTGTGGCACCGTATCTAATTTAGCTTCATAGCACAATTATATGATGTTAAGGAAGATATAAAAATATAAACTTTTTATTGAAAGGAAGAACTTGCATTTATATAACGTCTTTTACGACTTCAGAATGGTTTACAGCCATTCTTGAAGCTTAGTCATTGTTCTGATGTAGGAAAGATGGCAGCCAATTTGCATAAAGCAAGATCCCAAAAAGATGTGATAATGATCAGATAATCTTTTTCAGTGGTGTTGGTTGGGGACTATATATTGACCACAAAAGTAGATGAACATCTTCGAATTAGTTTTATAGAATCTCTGATGGCTACTGTGGAGGGAAGGTAGGGTCTTGGTTTAGACCATATCCAAAAAGCAGAAGCTGCAAGCTGCAACACTTCCTCAGTACTGTATCAGTGTATCAGCCTGGATTAAACCCATAAGCTTTTTTTTGAGTCATTCACAGGATATGGGTGTCACTGTCTAGGCAAGTCCAGCATTTATTGCCCATCTCTAATTGCCCAGAAGTTAAGAGTTAAGAGACAACCACATTGCTGTGCGACTGGAGTCACAGTGGGCAAGACCAGGCAAAGGTAGGCAATTTCCTTCTGTAAGGGACATGAGTGAACCAGATGGGTGTTTCACCCCGAAAATTGGCAACAGTTTCACAGTTAACATTAGACTCTTAATTCCAGATTTATATTGAATTCAAATTGCACTATCTGCCATGGCAAGATTCAAACCCGAGTCCCCGGGTCGCTGGCTTAATAGAGTAGTGATAATTCCCTTTCTGATTCAGAGCTGATACTGTTAAAGCACTAATATCAATCCTTCAGAAATCTAAGGCTTGCACCTAAGTAATTGCCTAGTGATATTATCACTAGACTATTAGTCCAAAGACCCAAGTAAAGTTCTGGGAAACTGGGTCAAATCTTGCCACGGCAAGTGGTGGAATTTGAATTCAATAATAATCAGGAATTAAGAGTTTAGTGATGACCACAAATCCATTTCCAAATGTCAGGAAAAACCCATTTGGTTCACTCATGCCCTTTAGGGAAGGAAATCTTCTTTCGATACCTGGTCTGGCCTACATGTGACACCAGACTCACAGCAATGTGGTTGACTCCTAACTGCCCTCTGGATAATTAGGGATGGGCAATAAATGCTGGCCTAGCCAGTGACACCCACATCAATGAACGAATTAAAAAAAAACTTTAAGTTATATGTGGGCTGGCAAAACTACTCAATTGTTTAGAGACAAAAAAACTGCAGATGCTGGAATCCAAGGTAGACAAACAGGAGGCTGGAAGAACACAGCAAGCCAGGCAGCATCTGGAGGAAAGGAGAAGTCAACATTTCGGGTATTACCCTGCTTCAGCAAAATTGTTTGACTCCTGTCAGCTTTGAGAGACTTTCTGCCTCTATCTCCCTCTCATATTTTGATTCAATACTGCAGCTTATCTGAGATTGAGTTGGACGATTGTTCTCAATTGACTCTCCCTCCAACTCTCCCCTCCTCGTTCCTCAGCATTTGCTCATCTCTTTCATTCTTTTTCCTTCCATTCAACCCAAGCACTCCCCCTCTCTTCCTGTCACCCTTACTCTGTCTCTCCCCCTCTCTTCCCGTCACCCCAACTCTCGCTCTCCCCCTCTCCTCCTACCACCTCTAGTCTCCCTCTCCCCCCTGTCCTCCTGCCACCCCTACTCCCTGTCTCCCCCTCTCCTCCTGCCACCCCTACTCTCTCTCTCTCCTCCTGCCATCCCTACTCTCTCTCTCCTCTTCTCCTCCTGCCACCTCTACTTTCTCTCTCACTCTCCTCCTGCCATCCCTACTCTCTCTCTCCTCACCTCCTCCTGTCACCCCTACTCTCTCTCTCTCCCCCCTCTCCTCCTGCCATCCCTATTCTCTCTCTCTCCCCCCTCTTTTCCTTGCACCCCTAGTCTCTCTCTCTCTCTTTCTCTCTT